AGCACCTAGAAGGGCTGTGTGGCAGCAGGACCCGGAGCCATAGCCTCACGTCTTTGTCTCAGAGATTGCCTTTGTATCAGGTTGTCTGCTGCATATGACTGTCTCACTCCTGGGACCTTTCCAGCGTTCCCCTAGATCGTTCTGTGTCCATGTGTGCGGACACGTGAATCCCAGCCCGTGTGCACTGCGGAGTTTTCCTAGGGCATGTAGCCAGGCACTTACGTAGATGTGCATTTGTCATTGCTACACAGGCAGTGCCAAGACATGAGTTACTGTGAGAGAAGTCTGGTGGCCTCAGGAGGTGTCCATTTGTCTCTCGGAATGCCTAGTGCCCACTGAGCTGATTACGATAGAGAACAACATTATCAAAACAGCTCTGGCTGTTGTGCCAACACTGTATGAAACATTTTAGAGACATCAGTATTTCCAGATGGGAATGAGGAGTCAGTTTGTAGATGAGGAAGTTAGCTTTTCAGAGAGAGAAAGTAATCTGTTCAAAAGACTTACAGCTAATAAGAGCATGGCTATGATTTGAGATGAGTTTAGTAGATTCCAAAATGCTAAGATTTTGAATCCTAGCTGCATCACCACGTACAAGCTGGGTGAATACGTGCAAGTTCCTTCATCTTCCCAGTCTAGGGATTGCACATTTTAGGATCATTGTGAGGATTCAGTGCTTTTTGAAAACAGCATTTCATAGTAACCAATAAGTGACTACACTTATCTCTGTTGTTGTTGTTATGTGCCATCAAGTTGACTATGACTCATGCTCTTTGAACAGTAGCTCTGAACCTTGGTTTATTCTGAGCCAATCTCACTATCTCAAACAAACCTGGCCCCCTCACCAGTTAGTGTGTCAATCCATCTCATCCTGGGTCTCCTCTCCTACACTGACCCCCTACCCTTTCAAGGATGATGTCCTTCTCCAAGGACTGGTTCCTGCTGACAACATGTCCAACGTATGTTAAGACATCGTCATCATTGTCGTTAAGTGCTGTCGAGTTGCAGGCGACTCATAGCGACCCTATGAAGGAAAGTCCTCAACACTTGCGTGTCTCTCATCCTCTCTCAAGGTTCATAGGGTTTCCGGAGGCAAACTATTACGGAAGTGGATGCCGCTCCTGCTTCCAAGGTTGTTTTAATCGGGGAGTTTCACCCAACACTGTCTGCTATGGGTAACCATTAACACATTTGACACATCAGTGCCACAGTGTTAAGCCTCACAGCAACCACAAGTTACAGGGCAAGTGGACACACCAGGGCTATACGACCTAGAGGAATGTTTGAAGAAAAACAATAAAAGGCCCGAGGGCCGTATGTTAAGACAGTATTTCAAAATCCTTGCCTCTAAGGAGCAATCTTGTTTTCAGCCTCTCCAGGACAGACCTGTTTATACTCTTGGCAGTCCATGATATGTTCAATACTCTTCTCTAGCACCACAACTCAAAGGCATCAATTCTTCTTCTGTCAGCCTTAGTCATTTGTCCAGCTCTGATGCATAGAAAGTAATTGTGAAGACCACGGCCTGGATCAGGCGCACTTTAGTCACCAGACTGACATCTTTGCTCTTCAGTACTTTGAAGAGGTCCCCAAAAGCAGAGAAGCCAGGCCCCAGCCCACCACACTCCTCTCTCTGACAAAGGGAAAGGCCTAGGGATTCCGGAAGCCCTGACAGGAATGAGTTTTGGATTTTTCAGAGCTCTAATTATCAGCTAGATGAATCACTTGGGGCTGACACCAACATCTCCACCCCCAGAAGACTCTCAGCTGATCCAAAATAGAGGTTTTTAACAAAGGAAAGGAGGGGGAAGAGAAAGAGGAGAGAAAAGATGAGTAGAAACTAAAGGTGGCAGCCAGAGGAAATGAAAACCTGTCATCAGGACACCACCATGGACAGACCGCTAAGACACACCACAAACACAGTGGCATACTTCACTGGCTCTCTAACCCTGGGCATACTGGCAGACAGTGCTGACATAAAAAAGTGACGCCTATCACAACAGGATGAGATGGTTGCTTGATGACATATGGGCAGATCTGCTGATTAACGGAGAGGAGACCGTCAGCCTCTAGGGGCTTCTTCAGACTTCCAAGCCCTACTAACTGGCCGGCTCCTGGCTTCTCTTTGCAGTTAGACCCCAAGAGCTACATATAGTACATTTTGAGCACCAGACCCATAACCCTGTGGTTTGGAACGAGCTCTAAAGTATGTAGACACCATGCAGTTACTGTCAGGTGTGTATTGTCAAGAGTGCTAAGAAGTACAATCATGATCATGAACTCTGCAGTCAGATTGACCCTAGTTCGAATCCTCACTCTCCTGTTCATTGGGTCTATGACCATGAGCAAACCACTTAATCTCTCTGAGCCTGTTTACCTGGAAATACGGTTGCAATATATACCTTGAGTTGTTACAGTGATAAAATAGGATTCTTCTTTCATTTTGCAGATGTACTGAGTACCTATTATGCATAAAGCACCAAGCTAGATGTGGGTGTCCCAGTGATACCAAAACAGCCAGCAGCTCTACTGCCCTTGAGACATGTAATGCTCATATCATGGTCTTGGAACACAGTGAGATCCAACAAGCAGTGGCTATTTTTAGATGACCACCTGACACTTGGCCATTGACTTCATCATGGGGCTGAGGAAGAGCCTCTTCTCTTTAGATGTCTTCGTTTAACTGTAAAATTGTAGATACCCTCCTTCAAATCCCATCCAGTTCTTCTAGCTGAGAACTGGCATTGCTGGATCTCATATGCCTCCAAAGAGATCTCAACTTCAAGCTCAGTGGGTCTTACTCAGAGGCCTGGTAGTAACTTCCCCTTAAATGAGACCTCTGCAGTTTCTCTCCAGAGACAGGTAAGGGTGGGGTAGAGAGGAGACTCCTCCATGCCACCTCGGCACAGAGAATTCCTGGGGGCTGTCATCAGCTGGGACCCTCCCAGTGGCTGAAGATGAAGGAAAGGGGGTAATATGTGCATGCTTGAACAAAGGCCACTAAAATGAGCAGCCTAAAATCTAAACTGCGGTGGGGTATAACATGTTGGAAAAAGTATTTTACCTTTGCTTTGCCGTCCCTTCTTCACTCTTCCTGCATTCAGTTAAGCTAGTCTGCTTTTGTGACTTCAGGAAAGGAGTAACACAACAGAAATCACTGTCAATTTTTAGCTTGCGAATTCCATAAGCACAGCCTTCAGGGAGCAATAGAAAATATTCCTAAGTAAAGAAGTGAATTTACAGAACGACATTACTGTATCTAGGAGACTGAGACTTATGGGCTTCCGTGACAACACAGGCGTTCTTCTCCTCGGGTTCCTTGCTGAGTTTATCAGCTAGATCTGGAGGATCTGAGAGCAGGAGAAGCTGTGCTCCTTTTCCAGGTTAGAGGGTGAGGGAGGCAACAAGTCCCTCAAAATGAACAGCTGAGTGCTGCATTTGGGAAATGAGGGCCAGACTAATCAACTAGTTGACATGGAATAGACTCCAATCCATGGTGAGCCTATACATATCAGTTTAACTGTGCTCCACAGAAATGACTACAAGATAGCGGCAACAAAGACTTGGGTTCTTATCCCTATTATCTAGCCTTCCTTGAAGATCCACTGGTTCTGAGACTGATTTGTTGCTGTTGGCTGACTTCTCATGTCTGTGGTGAAGGGTCAAGATATTCCACCTTGTCCACCTCAGAAACAGCAATGATATTGACAGGAGAGCTGAAGAGAAAAGCCACTTTCCACCTGCCTCAAATGAAATAAGGAGTTCTGATGGCTTAGTGGTAAAGAGTTGTGCTGGTAACCCAAAGGCATGTGGTTCAAATCCACCAGCTGCCCTATGGAAGAAGGATGGGCAATCTCCTCCCATGTGATTGAATAACTGATGCAGGAGAGTCAGTTACGAGGTGGTTCTGACTTGACGATACAGAACAGACTGAAATATAGTTGATCCTTGATCAACATTGGGCTTAGGGGCACAGACTTGAGGCTTGAAAACCCATGTAAAACTTACAGTTGATTTCTGAACACTGTGAAGGCTCAAGAATTTTTAATATATGCTTAAAACACCATGTGAAACTAATACTTTCCAAATACTTCGTTCATATAGATGATTAACAACATAGTTTACTGCCACATCAGGGGAAAAATACTGTATAAATGGTGAGCAGTCTAAACTCATGTGTTGTTCAAAGGGCAATGATACTCTCCCATGATAGTTCTTGAACTTGCTACATACTGGAGTCACTGGAGGAACTTTAAAAATACCCCAATGGTCCAGTTACACCCCATATTTAGAAAATCTGAGGGTAGTACCTGGGAACCCACAGATGAAAGACATCTATATAAATTAAGAATCATCTGGGGACCTTGTGATATTATAGGTTGATTCAGTATATCTGGGGTGGAAATAAAATTTTCAGCAAGGGGCTGGGCCAGAATGAACCAGATTGAAGCCTTGGATCTAAGGTGCAGTTTCTTTTAAAGCTCTCCTGGTGATTCCTATGCACATCTGTGTTTGAGAACCTCTGTTCTAATAAACAGGATTAAGGCAGGGAGCCATGTACATAACATGGAAAGCATGAGTCATGGACTTATATCTAGGTTTGGTCTTATGAAATCATGAACACAACTGAAAGAGAAAAGACGACTGTTATGGGTGGCTTAAGCCACAGGTCTTTAATAATCTTCACTGGCAGAGTCGAAATGAAAATTATTTGGCAGAATCCCCAAATCAGTAAATGAGTAATTCAGATATAAACGATCAAAAGAGGGGACTGTTACCTATCCCAAGGCCACAAAAAGTTAAGTTGTGGGTCACAGAGTGAATCTTGGAGGTAGAATTCTGTGAAAGGCAGCTGTGACAGGAGGTATCTGTCCAACACCAGTCTCAGGGCTAGCCCTGCTCCCTTTTCAGGCTCACAGCATGAAGGAATGGCAGGGAGCTGGCTCAGCAGAACTCTAGAGGAACCCGAGTGAGGGCTAGGCTGTGCAGAGGGGACAACCTCATTTAGAGTTTTTGGAGGAAAATTCGCGGCGGCCTCGGCCACCAAAGTTCCGTACCCGATGGATGATCTGCAGCTGCTGCTCGATGGTGGCCGTAATGTTCACGTCATCAGGGATGTGGACATAGCGAACATTACGGCCTGTCACAAAAAGGTCATCCAACTCAACCTGATGTCCCCACCGGTCTGTGTAGGTAACATTGGCCAGGCGGATGTTCATGAATGCATCAACGTTGTCTATGCATCCAAGGGCAGTGCTCTCATCCCGAAGGTCCACGGTGGTTATCTGGCCCTGGAGGCCCTGCAGCAGGATAATCAGGCTGTTTTCTGAGATGGTGCGTTCCTTCACAGAGTGGCTGAATGCCATTCTTCTGCACTGGCTTGTTGTTTGCTGTGGGCAAGAGTATACAGATGGGAGCTATAGCAGGCTAGGGTATGCAGCAGCCAACTCTCCTACACCAAGTTCGAACACAGGACCTCCCTAAGTCTGCCCCTCATCCCTGCTTTTGTTCATGAAGTATCCTTCCATAGCCAGGTGCTTCATGTTCCTATCTAATACAATTTTTACACGGTCTTCTAAAGAAAAGATTACTTATATTCATTTTATAAATGAGAAATACATGGCTAGGAGAAGTTAAATAACTTGTCAGGGTCATACAGTTGATATGTGGAGGTGCTGGGATTAAAATCCTGCTTCCAAATCCTATACCTGTGATTTTGGACGAGCACTGAATGTTAGAATCAAAACAAACTTTTTCATCTGGCCATTACATCCCAGAGATCAGATTCATCTGGCTAGGGGTGGGCCGTAGGCAACCTATATTTTAGTAGTTCTCCAGGTAGTTTCATGTACAGACATGTTTGAAAACCATTGTTCTGGTCTAAAAAACTTGTCACTCTGTGGCCTAGTAGTTTTAACATCACTCGGAAATACAGTTGAAACGCAGACTCTCAGGGCTCACTCTTACTTTGAAACAGAAATCTGCATTTTACACGATTCCTAAGTGAATCAAATGTACATTAAAATTTAGGAATTTCAGTTCTCCAACCAGTTCTTAAACTTTAGTGACTATAAGAATCACCTGGATAAGTTGCTAAAACACAGACTGCAGAGACTGACTCCCAGTTTCCGATTCAGTAGGTTTAAAGTGCCTCTCAACTGTGTGCATTTTTAACAATGTCTCAAGTGATACTGGTTGGGCTCCACATTTTGAAAACTATTGGTCTACAACACCAGCATAGAGAGAGGTCTGGCGGCCTAGCGGGCAGAAAGTGATGCTACCAAGCCAAAGGTGGGTGACTTTAATCCGCGGCCCTGACGCCTGTCTTTGTTTTTGGTGAAACATTCTTCTAGGTCGTATAGCCCTGGCCTGTCCACTTGCTATACAGAGAGGAAAGTGTGGTTGCTGTGAAGCCAAACACTGTGACACTGACGTGTCAAATGCGAGAATGGTTACCCATGGTGGACAGTGTTTGGTGAAACTCCCCGATTAAAACAAGCTTGGAAGCAGGAGTGGCATCCACTTCCGAAATAGCTTGCCTCCGGAAACACTATGAACCTGGAGAAAGAATGAAAGTTATACAAGTGTCCAGGTCATTCCTTCATAGGGTCACTATGAGTCGCCTACGACTCTATGGCACTTAACAACCACCACCAACTGGTCTACAATGCAGGGACGCTGTGGTTAAGGAAAATGGCTGATAACCAAAAAGCTTGTGTTTGGACTCTATCAACTGCTCTTTGTAAAATGGGGGGAGGGGAGGGGCTGTTCTCATAAAGAATTCCAGTCTTGGAAATTAATTCTACCGTTGCCAAGTTGATTCTGGGCCATGGGAACCATCCACTAGGTTTCTGAGGCTGTAAGTTGTAACTAGATAGGCTCACCTTATCTCTCTCCCGAGTAGCAAAGGAGACCTTTTAATTAACAGGCCAACATGCAAAGCACCATGCCATCAGAGAAACTCTGTCATGTAGGGTCACGGGGGAGTGGAAATCAACTCGAAAGCAGTGGGTTTGATTTTGGAGTTGGTTTTTTCTGTGTGTGTGTTTGTGCGTGTGTGTGTGAATACATCAGGCAGCTGCATGTTAACTAACAGGCATTAAGGTTACTGGAAAATGGTTCATGGGTTTTGAAGATATTGAGATCTGGGTTGGAATCCCCACTCCATCTAGGGTAAATTCTTAAGGAACCAGTTTCCACATTAAACCATAGTTGAAACAGGAAGAGGCCTATCTAAGAGTAGGTTAACTGAACCTCACTACATTGTACTTTCCTTTGTTTTAAGATATCCGGATTTTGTATGAATGTGACTATGTCTTTCCTATTCTCTACCTTCAGCCTTCCCGACATTCATTCCCAAAGTTTGCCAGAGCTGCGCAGGCAATTAAGCGTAGTGAGCCCCACTCCACCACTGAAGGGAGAGGAGGGGTACCTGAGAGGTGGTAAAAGCCGAAAGACCCCTTCTCCTCTACAAACTTCAGCTGGAGGAATCACAGACCAAGCCAGGGCTTGGGGACTGCAAAAAGTAATGACTGGATCTGGATGGAGTCCGACCAGGACCTTGGTTCAAGCACAGGTTCCCCCACTTTCTAGGAGAAAGACCTCGCGCAAACAATTTAACTTCTCCAAGTTTGTTAACCCTTAGGTAAAATGGGGATGATGCTGACCCTTTACTCACAGAGCTGTGGAAGTGGGTTTAGGGAGATGAGATTCACTCAGTGAGTCAGGAAGAAAGATGCAACCCCGCTCCCCCGCCGTCTCCGCCCCCCGCTTCTCAGCTCACTACCCTACCAGACTCACCGCGCCGCGATCCTTCCGCCTCCCTCGCTCAGGTCGCCGCCGAAGCTAGAGGGTTCCTAGATAGGCCGCTTCCAGCCGGGAAGCCATGGCAACCACAGAGCCTCTCTATCTTCCGAGAACATCGAGTCAGTTGAACTTGCGTCAGTGCGCAAGGCTAGCGTCTCCGCGGGATGAGTCAGAAACTACAATTCCCAGAGTGCCTCGCCGGGCGCAGTCATGCGTTCTTCTAACCCCTGGTTTACGTCAATCCTCTCATCTGCAATCATTCGGGCGGCAAACTTTGAATCTTCACTACATGATAGTCACCTTTCCAGACACTGGCTATACAATGGTGTCTAATAAAACAAGCTCTGAAATCCGAAGGCCCCACGTAAATCTATTGGTGGTAGCTAGGAGCGAGGGAGGGTCAGAACCCACTCATAGCTGACCTTCCAGCAGGTTTCAGAGGCAAAAGAATGGAAGGAGATTGCTCATCTTCCTCCCGGGAAGCCTAGGATGGATTTGAACCTCCAAAGAGGCCTATCCTTGGGTTGTTGTTGTAATGTGCCGTCGAGTCGCTTGCGACTCATAGCGACTCTGTACAACAGCTCTAAATTCAGCTCTGTCCTGTGTCAATTTCATTGTCTCCGACAGACTCATCCCAATTACTCCAGTCACTGAATCAATCCACCTCCTAGAGGGCCTTGCCCTCCTGCGCGTGCCCTCCACCCTCCCAAGCATGATGTCCCTCTCCAAGGACCGGTCTCTCCTTACAACATGACCAAAGTATGTCAGACAAAGCCTCAGAATCCTTGCCTCCATGGAGCAACCCGATTTAACCCTCTCCAGGATCAGCCAGGAAATTAAAAGGCGCATTGCCATGGGAAAGTCTGCTGTTAGGGTCCTCTCCAAAGTGCTGAAGAGCAATGGTATCTCTTTGGAGACTAACGTGCGTCTGATACAGGCCATGGTCTTCACAATCACCTGTTATGCATCAAAGAGTTGGACAATGACCAAGGAGGAT